ACCGACTAACATTTATATTATTTTACAGTAAAATCTGTGTACCGGTAATAATATGCAAGAAGTATTATTTTAATAATGGTTACCAGAATTGGAGTACATTGGTACCAGTAATTATTATTACCATTCATCTAAAATCAATGAATCATAACTTTCAAAGTAGATTCTATTCAGATATTTGTTTAAACAGCAATTCTATAAAAGATTTTGGATTTTGAAAATGTTCTTATTCCAAAATGGCTGCACAGTATTTATGTTATGCAGCATGTTACTATGGAAACCACGTCAGACACCCTCATCTTCATTGGCATTTTAATAAGTGCTTACTAGTGTTCTTTTTGTTCAATAAAATAACAATTTGTTGGGTACTTTTATTTTATTTTCTACTTACTAACAATAATAACAATCAGAAAACCCTAAAACCAAAAGCTGAAAGTCCCCTATGACGTATTTTATAGAATAAGATTAACAATTCAACTGACAAAAATCTGTTTCTTTATGCATTTTTCTAAGTATTTCTTCATATTTAACATCCAATTAAATCCATTTATTGAAAGTATAAAAGTTTAGTTCAATATAAATTATCACAAACCATCCTTTCAATCTGAAAAGCATTATTGCCAGTGTTAATAGCAAGGACAATTACATATAGATTCAAGATAACATTTTAAATGTAAGGTCACTGCAATATTAGATTGTGGAACTATTTCGATAAATCACAGTCCATGATAATTGTCTGATAGTACATGGTATAAGTAGAAAGGCATGGTCTAAGAGCATACATGTAGTAATGTAATGTTTATTAAACATGTAGAATCTGAAAGGCCACAAAAAAAGTGTATCATAGTGCGTCTTTTTGGCACAATTTGAAACAAATTTGCAGATAGTGTCCCTTTAACCAAGAATTCCTCTCACTAAAATGTTCATGTCAAATTGTGCAAAGTGTTAGGCATTTTCTATAATTTCTTGGTTCTAAGATGATCACCAATTAACACTTGGATTAGAATAATTTCCATAATATATTTATACAAATATACTGCACAGTAATAAGCAAATAGGAATGAATAACAGTCTGCAGTTTTAGAATTCTTCACAATAAATATTTGGAGTGTATTCATTTCATCACTGCACACCAAGCATGTTGCATGACTTTGTTTATTTACTAGTCTACAGTAAGGCTAAGACAACTGAACCAATACACAATGTCCTTTTGAGTGAAATCTGCCATATAGGCACATGTAAAAAAAAAATCATTGACAAGTACATACTTATGGTACCACAGCTTTACTAAAATATGTGAAAATATTTCGAGATTCTGTTATATTTAACATACACAGAATTTTCTTGCCAACATGTTAGAGCAATATTTAGCTAATCTTTTATATCATTCCCTCATTATTATTTTTGTACATTTTAGACCAAATGGATACAAGTTTTATATTTTCTTTGCTCATTTTGGACAAATACAATTTTCTATAGTTGTCAGGTCGTGATCAAGAGTTTTGAAAAAATGGGTGTTCAACAATATTAGTATTTTTATCACAATTTGATCGAAGTACTAAACACGTCCTGTTCCGGCCAGCAACAACTCAATCTTAGGATTATACAGAAAAGGTGGACAGAATATCAAACAAGCCTTTGTTTATTTAGTAGCGACAGGTTCATTGGCCTGCTTTTATTTCGTCGATGGAAGGCCCAACCTTGTGACCTCAATGATCTTTGGGTGCTACTCATGGTGCGTTTCCAACGATTTAAATATCTATTAACTTAAAGCTTTGATGAACTTTGAACAATTCATGATCAAATGCATCAAACATTTAAATAATTAAATAATTGAAAAATAAATGATTATAATGCTTCAGATGAGAACCATAATAGAAACTCTCTTGCACTGTGAATGAAATCATAATCAACAACAGGAAACAGGTTCCGGTGACAATGAGTGTACATACTCCACCTTCCACATGTAGAAAACTCTTGTACTACCGGTAAGGTGTAATTCATTTAGCATCAACCATCAAGGCAAATTTTGCTAAACTTACAGATATAATACAGTGAATTTTATAAAGAGCATTTAATGTTTTTATGGAAATTTGTAAAATAATTATGAAACATTTACCATGGAAGACCTTGTGCTTCATTCAAATCCAAAGAATATTCTTCCATGTATGGTAATGTGTTGTGACTGGTGAGTAAAGTTGTTTTTAACTGTCGTTTGAAATTTATTAAACATTTATTAATATTGAGTTTCACTGTACAGCTAATTTCATGATGTTTAGTAGAAAATATTTGTTGATTGTTGTTCTAAGTAATTATTCAACATATGCTGACCAATAGAAGCATTTTCCCCATAACATTGGAATGTTATGATGAATCTCCATGGTAACTAGAGAAAATAGTGTTGGCAAAGAATCAATTAGCAGAATCAAAAGGCTGTAAGCTTCATGGTTTTGTAATGTATGATTCAAATATGTTAAAATGTTTTGTTTATTGTTTGTTACATGTTATTTTCTGGGCATGTGTGAAGAAAATCAAAGAAAGACAAGCAGCCTATCGGCTGAGATAGCTCCGCTGTTAGCAATGCACATTTCAATTAAAGAACTGAAGACATCATTAGAAAATGAACAATATGAATAGTATCAAAGCAATCGGACTTACAGTTTTTAACAAGAAGTCGAAAATATCACTTTTTACCAAAAATTACAAAAATATTCACCAAAATAAATTAATTAGAGAATTGAAGA